TCCACCTCTCTTCATAAAGCGGGGCATTACTTAAAAACCTGTCCTGTGAACATTTGTCAAACCATATCTTTTTCTCTAAGAGAGAAATTCCAGAAAAAATGTCTCCGATTAAGAAAAGGTCTGGCATATGTGTGTGCTTTTCTTTCTTTCTTTCCATGTTGATGTCACAGTGTATGCACTGGAAGTACTAAAAGCAAAGTTGTCCTACATCACAGGAACAAGGAAAAATCCCTGGATTCTATCAAGTTAGCAGCCTCCTCTTTTATTTCCAGGTGCTTATTTTGCTCAGAAATCAGGGAAGTTGTTGGAAGATGTGCTTGTTCCAATCTATGGTGATCTATACTTGTGTCGATCTGTCCTTGTGATTATGCAGGGTTCTAAATCACCCAAGGTGCCCCCATGAATGCAGTAGAAGTTTGCTCTTCAAATTGTGGGGTGCTATAAAGGCGGCAGGTTACATGCTGCAGACATGGGTCTTGCCAGAATTCTCATACATATAGTTGCCATCATGCAAATATACTGAATGCTCAAATAGACTATTGTGTTCTCATTTTGCCTACAAATTGCATGTGCACTGGTAAGCTAGTCTGTCCAAGCTGCCGTCTCAGTTTTCTTCAGGATGCCCATTTTTACTTTGCTTGTCATGTGTCTCTAGGGCAGGCATTTTGTGGTAGTCAGGCCCAGCTTACTGCTGGAGCACTGGCTCACCATCACCTGTGGTTGACTAGAGGACCTCATGGGGTGGCTAGTATCCCTCAAGTCCTACAGTGGCTTTCCCTTTTAGCAGGAACTGTTGACCACCCACCATAACTTCCAGGTCTATTCAGATGCTTCTGGCAGCCTGGGATTTGGGGTGTATTTCAGGGATTGCTGGTGTTCCTGGCTATGGTCACTGGAAGCAGGAAGGGGTCACATGTGATCTAACTTTCCTAGAATTCTTCCCTAGCCTGGTGGCCGTCCACATCTGGATGGAGGAATCCTGTAACCTTCTTAGAGGTTTCTGGTAGTGCTGTGTTTGGTTTTTACTAAGATGGCTGGCATAGCTAGGGCCTTGGGGCTTATCTAGTATGTTCTACTAGTATCCCAGCTGAATCTTTTCCTGGAACGTTGGAGGAGGTTTTTTGGAAAGCACACTGCAGTGAGTGGTGAGGAGACAAATGATAACTCCACACGCCTGTCCCAAGAGCTCTGTCCTGTCTTCAAATGGGAAAGTGTTTCTTAAATTCTTGTCCTCTGTGCACACTTTGCAGCAGCAAGCTGGTTCACAGACCCTTCTCTGTATGGTTAAAGCAACCTGCATCGGAATCTGAAGCAGAATATTTGTGGTTTACTGAAACTGGCTGTACCCTGTGAGTTTGCAGCTTCATTACAGGAGTGGCTGACAGAACAATTGGTTTGCGGGGTCTCCAGTGATTACTTGTGTTCAGTGTTGTCAACTGAAACCAGCTATACAGATGAACCCTCCTAGACTAAAAGCCATGGAGCATGTGAAACTTTTTGAAACAAGCAAATTAATTTGACAAGTCTTTGCCCTGCTATAGGAGCAGGTCAAAGAAGGGGAGAGTGAGCCCTACACACAGTCAGTTCTGCATTACAGGTATATTCACCTTGTGGCAGAAGCACAGGAGAATGGTAAGAGCCAAACCAGATATGACATTAATTGCATGCAGCTAAAGTGGCTACCTTTAAAAGTTTAAATAGTAGTTGTGGGGATCTGATTAGCACTGGGACGCATGGGAAGGGAATTTAATCTTTCCACCACAACACTGAAGCTGCTTTCGACCGCAGGAGGAAAGCTTCCATTTGCATCAGTGTTGAGCTTCTACCCTGGGATGTGGGATTTACATTGAGTCCACAGCATGGGAGAAAAGGTGGAAAAATCAAAGTTGGAAACAGAACTGTTAGATCCTAAAACAAAGATACTTTCAAGAATGTATAACTTGCTGTTAAAATGGAACACTCAGGACTAGACGGTTAAATCTGCTATGATTAAATGGGCACAGGACGTTGGACATAACATCATGTTTGCTGACTGGGAACCGTTGTGGACCACAGGTATAAAATTTACGGCATGTAATGCCCTAAAAGAGAATATTATGAAAATGATTTATTGGTGGTACATGACACCAGTCAAGCTTGCAAAAATCTATCATTTGCCCGATAATAAATGTTGGAAATGTAAAGAAACTGAAGGTACATTCTTTCACCTTTGGTGGACGTGCCCAAAGATCGAGGCGTTCTGGGAGATGATCTGTAATGAAATGAAAAAGGTATTTAAATTTACCTTCCTGAAGAAACCAGAGGCCTTCCTCTTGGGTATAATCGTCCAATTGGTGCCAAAGAAGGATAGAACTTTTTTTATGTATGCTACAACAGCAGCAAGAATACTTATTGCAAAGTATTGGAAGACACAAGATTTACCCACTCTGGAAGAATGGCAGATGAAGGTGATGGACTATATGGAATTGGCGGAAATGACTGGCAGAATCTGAGACCAGGGAGAAGAGTCGGTGGAAGAAGATTGGAAGAAGTTTAAAGACTATTTGCAGAAATACTGTAAAATTAATGAATGTTAAAATGATGTTGGACTGAAAATAAGTGGTTTTGGTAATAAGGTTAATAAGAATATGTAAATATTGATAGTTATATGGATGAAAATATATAGTTATAATAGGTTAAGATACAGAGTAAAGATAAATGAAAGAGGGTAAGGATTTGCTGAAAGGATTTTGTAAACGGGAATACAAAAAGGGGAGGTGTGAGGAGGTCAAGGAAATAAGTAAATGAGCCTAAAGACATTGAAAAATGGACTTTTTCTTTTTTAAAATATTTTTCCTTTTTTTTTTCTTCCCTATTTTTTTAGCTATCTGTTTTTTGTATTTTGTATCATCCTTTTTTTTCTTTTTTTTCCTCCTTTTTAGGTCTCTTTTTTGGTATTTTTCTTGTTAGCTTTTGTTTTTTTTCCTCTCTATGTGTAATTTTCTGGTTTAACTTTTTTTTTAATTCTTTAAATCTATGTTTATCGTAAAATTTCAATAAATATTTATATATATAAAAAAGAAAAGGCTTGAACGTACTTGTATGCTATTCTCTCTAAGTCCATTAATTTCATTCGAACAAATAACATTTCATCTCCTGGTAAAACTTTTACAAGTGCCACAACATTGTTTCCCCCCACTTTTGTGAGGCCTTATTCCTTTACCATGGCAGCACTTGTGCTATGGAACTTTCTGCCCATAGACAGTAGGCAGGCAGCTTCCCTGGACTGTTTGAGATGCCTGCTGAAACCTTTCTGTTTCAACATGCCTATCCCAACACATGATTTGGTTACACCTGTTTTTAAATTTGCTTTAATTCATGTGACAACAAATTGGACTTGCGAGTTGCCACGGTGCTCTCCTAGAACATTTCCTGCATGTTGGGGAGGGTGCCCATTTGTTAGCACATGTGTACGCTTGTGGGGATGTCCATCACATCACTGGGAAACTGTTAAACCTACCTTATAGGTTTAGATTTAGAACTCAAATATGAAGAATTGCTGGTTTACTTACTGGCAGCTGTAAGGACCATCATAGCCTGTAATTGGAAGGCTTTTTTTACAGGCTGACATTAGATCTGTAGTATCATAGAGTATAGCAGGTTGCTCTTTTTTTGGGGGGGGGAATAACATAAAAGTTGAGGGTTGCCTATGGGTAGAAAAAGGACAAATTTAAATCAGTTTGGTTCCTGTTTATTAACTTTGCTAATGTAGTAGAACAAGGTTGCTTGCTGCTGACAGCATACGCTTGCCCTTGGACGTACTGCCTGGTTTTTGCTACTCTCTTATATCTTTCTGCCCCCTAAAAGGAAGGAAAACTGAAATGGCCTGATATTGCCTTAGCAGTACTGCTGTCCTGAACTTTGAGACCATGGATTTCCACTTCTCTAGGCACCTACTTTTCCTATACTGGCAACCTAACAAAATTGTCTGTATGCCTATGTACACAGATATGTTTATGTGTGAACTGGGGCAGGAGATAGGTCTCTCTCTCTCTTGTTCGTTTTTTGTACTGTTTTTGACGTACGATTTTTAAAAAAAAAATCAATAGAAGTAAAATTTCAGTTAGATATATGAAGTATGATGCACCGTTGTCATATGGGAGGCTGTTGGAGTTAATGAACAGTGGAATGCATAAGTATAGCCTGTAACAATTCAGTTAGAAGATATATGTATGCAAAATGACACTTCACAGCAAAAGTAATTGGCAAGTGAATAATGATTTTGGCATTGCGGAGTTATTTAGCACATGGAATAGGACAGAACACCAGTGTCTCTATTTAGTCCCAAATGACTAGAACTGAACTTTTCAGTTCAGCAGTTTCAAGCTAGAGTTTGTCTTTCCAGTTCCATTTTTCCCAGGATGGCCATCTTAAGATCAATAACTGGATAACTTGGTAGGTTGAAATAGTCTCCTATTGATTTCTAAGTATTGCCATTTCTGATGTCAGATTCGTGCACATTTATTCTTTTGCAAGAAGAAATTCTGCGTAGAATGCGGGAGGGAATTGCTGGCCAGATCACATTGGGAGATGAGCAGGTGATAGACTATCGGCTTTGTGGCCAGCATTATTAATGTAATGGTGTTGCTAGAGTAGAGGTGGGAATAGAGTTGTCATTGGAATTTGTGTCAGGGTCTGATTTCTGTGTTTGTGTCTCTGTTGCCTGTCTGTGAGAGGGAAGACTTATTGCCCAGATAGGCTGTAGATCCTTGATTATATGTTGGGGGGTGGCTTTAGCTGGAAAATGTATAGATGGCAATGAATGGTGTTCTGTCCCTTCTAGGTCTGTCCTGTATTATACTATTCCTGGCTATGCACCAGGCCTTGGTAGTTTGCTTTTTCACTTCATTGGATGGGTATTGTAGTCTAAAAAAAACCTGATGCAAATTGTTCAGCTGTGAGCCTGTATTTCTGACATCATAGAGTTGGAATGGACCACAACGATAATCTAGTCCAACTTTCCCCCAATGCGGGATTTGAACCCACGACTCTGAGATTAAGAGTCTCATGCTCTACTGACTGCACTAACCAGAGGCTCTGATCCAGACTTCTGGCACCACTTAGGGATGCTCCTGACAATGGAATGTGTGTGTGTGTGTGGGGGGAGACTTTGCTGATTCTCCCTCTTCCTGCTGCAGTTTCTGCCCCACTAGTCTGCTCCAGAGTGTTAGGGTCCTTCCACAGCCATGGCATAGGGAAGTCCACAGGGGAAGGAGGGACCCCTTCCCCCTTCTGCCAGCACAATCTGGCCAACAGACCAGAAGCCTTTCATGAACAGAAGGAGCATTTCTACTTGCAGAGGTTTAGTTTGGATCCAACCCACTGTGTGCTAGCTGCTTATGAGCCATTCTCCTAGCAATGCAAGGCTAGGCGAGGGGAGTGTGTTAGATTTTAGGCCTCTGAAGCATAGCTGTCAACCTTCCCTTTTTTGTGGGAAATCCCCTTATTCCAGCGCCGTTTCCCGCTGCTATCCCGAATTGTTAGATATCCCGTAGACAGTCCCCGGGACAGGTGAGGCTGCTGATCCCTTATTTTTGAGGCTGCTGATCCCTTGTTTTCAAATCTGAAAGTTGACAGCTATGCTCTGAAGAGACATTGCAGCATGGGGATAAAGGCACCGTTGAACCAAACTACACATTACATTAACCACATGTGTGGTGGAGGAGATAACTGTCCCCCCATGCCTCAGTCTCAACAACCCTGTTTTTTTATCTTGGGAGTAAAGCTGGTATTGACACTATAAAAACAGCCAACATCCCAAAATCTATACAGTGCTAGTGCAGAGGCACAGTTAAAACATTTCCTTGGGCCTTCTGCTTTCACCTCTTCTGCTTTTCTTCCTTCTGCCCCACCAATTCTTGCTCTCCCTGAAGCCTGGCACCACCAATACAATTCTCAATGCCAGTGTGCAGGGCTATTTCCCTGTTAACAGGCTTTCCCCATCCAGTTCTCTAAGCCTTTTTGTTCAAATGATATTTGCTCTATGACTTCTTGATAGGTCTTTTGTTGTTGCATTGTTTTTCTTCTTGATGTTGGCAGCCACCTCAGTTGGAGAGCTGAAGCAATTCAATATTTTTATTTTTTTAAAGTGAAAAATAAATAAATAAGCCTCTCAATTCTCTGCATATTTTACTACCATTCTTTGACACCCAGTGATATTTGAAATGGAAACATCAGATTGTGTGTGTGTTTTTGTGTGTGTGTTTTGCTTTTTAAAAAAGAAAAATCCAATGAAGTCAATTCAGCAACTGCTTTGATGTATTTCATAATATTCAACTTAAATGTAACTTCTGGCACTTCAAGCCGATTGCCCTGTCCTCCAGAGCAGCTGAACCATTTTTCTCCATTTCCTATAATGACAGCCTTTTACTTTTTAGAAAATTGTTACCATATTGTCCCTTAATTTGTTTTCTAGGAATAAGAATACCTTGTTCCTTCAACTTTCTCTCACTGTCATGCTTCCTGTACTGTATTCACCATTGCAATTGCACTCTGTTCGTTTCCTGTTGTTCTGAAAATATAGCGCCCAATAGAATCTGAAATTCCACAGTTTTTGTAACGAGGTTCAAGCAAAATATTACTTGCCTTCAGATTGTTGAACTTCAATCTGTATAGTCTCTAATCTTTTTCTGTGCAAAGAATTCCTTTATTTGATCCTTTGTTCTACTGCCTCTAGACCATTTCTTCTTTGAGAAATATGAATATGCTGTGCTGCGAGGAGTTTGCTATATGTATCTTTCAGTTGTGCCCTCTGTAGTTTTGTACTTTCCACTTCCTACGCCCAAATAATTTATATTATATAGTGTTGATCAGTGGCAGACACAGAGTAGATCCCTCCAGAAATCTGCTTCATGATATATCATATTTTTTTGCCATTTTGTTAACAAATGGAATCTGTGACAAAACATTGCAATGTGGAGTGCTCCTTTTCATAATGCCAGCCAGCCATGTCTTCATCCGAGATATTCCATTAATTTCCACTCCACTTTCCCCAGTTTTCTCTTTCCTCCCACCATCAGTCATGTACTCCATGGCAACCGAACATGCTCAGTCTCCTTAGTTTTTTAATGGTTTTTTTTGTATCATTCTTTCAAACTCAGGGTTTCCTGTATGCCTCCATCTGGTGTATAGCTGGTGTCATTTTAGCTGCATAAGAACACACACTTGGAGAATGAGTGTGTCATGAATATTAAGGACAGTTGCTCTCAGTGAGACCTCTTTTATTCTACTGTTTGAGTTGGTTGGCATCTGTCTGTCTTGGGAGACGATGAAGAAGTGCACCTTTGGGGGATGAGGTCAAGCTGTTGGAAGGTCACAGCGCCTGCTGTGGCTGTAGAGACTGATACAGGAGAGACATGTTTTGCTGAAGTATAGTTAATGCAGCTGGAGGGGATTTGGGTTTGGGGGAGAAAAGTGAGACTCAATTTGCAAAAACAAAGATGATTGCTGTGTTAATGCATACTTAAGGTATCCATTAGCACAACATTTCATGTTTATGCGTTGTTGTTTTTTTAGATGATATTTATTAAAAATTTTAGAATTACAAAAAGAAAAAGAAAAAAGAAAAAGAGAAAGAAAAAACAAAACAAAAGAAAAACAAACCACAATCGAACAATACAAATTGATAAAAATCAAAATCAAAAAATAACACGACACAATCAAAAGACAAAAATATGCCACAAACATTTAAAAACAAATCCAATATTCTCAAATCCTTAACTGTCATTACCTTCTTTCTTTGACCTCCTCACTCCTCCCTTTTTTGTATCCTAGTTGTTAATTGTCACAGCAAATCCTTTCCATATTTCATAATATTCTGTCATTACATTACCTTAATCTATTTTAATCTTATCTTACTATAAAAGACCTTAAAATTTAAAACTTAGATCTTATTTATACCAATTTCTCCTAACCATAATATTCTTACATAATTCTTTAAACATTTTTGCTAAAGCCAAATAATTTCATTCCAACATTTTTCTAACGTTCATCAATTTTATAAAGCAATCCTAATAAAAAAAAATTTTTTTTCTTCCAATCTTCATCCAGCGTCTCTTCCTCCTGGTCCCAGGTTTGTCAGTCCTTTCTATCCCATCAATCTAGCGCATTAACCTGGTAATCTTATGTCCGAGGCCCTTAAGTCCCTTCCATGTCCCATCCACAGTTCTTCTTCATATTTATACCTATACTTTACTTTGTCTCCTGCTCCTTTCACTCGTGGGAACTCCAACTTAACAGTGTTTTTGACCCTTCTCAACAAATCAGCCCCTTTTCCATAGTCCACACTAAACTCCATGTGGTATTTAAAAACTTGTTTCAAAGTCCCTCCAGAATTAAGAGCCCCCACAACCCCAAACATCTCACGGCCCATTGCCAGACTTGAAAAGTCCAAACATCCCTGCATAGGGGGGTCTATCCAACCCCCCACTTCCAAACCAAACCAAACTTTGTCTTTCCAAATTTGGCTTTTTCCAAGTTCATTTGTCAAATCCAAGAACTCATGTTCCTGCTGGGCCACAGCTCCCTCCATCTCTGGTGCCCAAGGTTCAGCAGCATCCTCTTCCCTCATCTGTTCTGTCAGAGCACACTCCTGATTTGATTCCTGGGTGGGCTCTATATAGTTTCCCACTACCTGTCCAAAATTTCTGATTGCAACAGTCATCAAGTCCGTCTTCTCATGTAGCTGTTCCAGTAGGGCACTTGTTTTACAGAAAACACGCAGCAGAGCTTCTGAGTACATTGTTCTGCAAGGTCAGAAGTCTATTCCCACGATCGTAATCTATTGCAGCTGCAAGCTCCCCGGTTCAGAATTGGTAACAGTTTCACAAGCTCCCTCTAGGGGAAGAGCTTCTATTTGTTCTTTTCTTTTAAAGGCAGATCTAACAACAAAGTTTCCTTTTTCAGATATTTTGTCAATATTTGTTCCTTTAAAATGCGAAGGGGAACAATGGAATCACTATGTTTCTCTTCTTTTAACTATCTGTCAAAGACGTTTGTCTGTGGTCAATGAGCTTCCCAAAGAACGTCAGTCCTGACACCCCGCTCCAGGATCAAGACGGTGGAAAGTTACTTTGCGTTACACTCTCTTCTGCAGGTTTAAACAGTCCGGAAAAAATCCCCCCTCTTCTCCTGCTTCCGAAGGGGGTTCAACAATTTTAAATGATGAAAGTTAATCCTTTACAGGCAATTTTCTGAACTCTAGTTTGCCATGTCTTTGCTTTAATCTATCTACAAGAAACGGAAGGCTGACTTCCTGTTTAGACCTTCCCGTTTCAGTGCCAAATTGAGGTAAATTTCTTAGTCCAATTTTCCTTTCTACTCGCAAATCATTATTTGAAGTCCAATTGTCCGAAATTTAAGTACTCACGGGTAATTGTTTTAAAAGCCGAATTGTCCCAGGAAAAAGGCAGCGCTCTCCGGCAACGGCTGTGCGGCTTCGCTCCACAGAAGAAGCAGTTGACTCTCAGCACCGCGCCACTTCCCCCTCTTCACTCCGGAGCCCGTTAATGGGTTCCTTTGCGGGTTGGGGGGGGCGCTAAAGGTGCCCGCCGAGTCCCATGGTCACAGGCTTCATCCGCCTGTGATTTTTGAAAGGCTCCCCACTTTGCCGTAGCGGGAAAGACCCGTTTCCCGTGGAGCTGGTCCCTCCAGATCAGAGGGAGTCCGCCATTACCGATGGCGCCACCCCGGAAGTCATGTTTATGCGTTTGCAGCAAGGTCAGATGTGAAGAGTAGTTCAGAGTCCTGCCTTGTCCAATCCGGAGTTTCGCTGGTGAGATAGGAGCAAAGGTTTGGCCTAATATGGAAGACCTGCAGATACCTGCAAGGCAGTTTGGATTATGAGAATAATGCTATAAGTCAAATGCAGTTCTGTACCATGTGCTTCTAAAGGGTCCTGGAAATCCTTTCGTGACTATGTTTTGTCAGTAAAATGTTGCCCAGTCGTACCTTGGTTTTTGAACAGCTTAGTTTTCAAACGTTTTGGTTCCTGAACACTGCAAACTCAAAAGTGAGTGTTCCAGTTTGCGAACTAT